CAATGTACGTTCCAAGACGCCATTATTTGTTTAACTCATCGCAAGTTGCAACTTGAACGAAAAGTATTATTCCCACGATTTACAAACTCATACATTATCTCTCCCCATTTTGACCATTAACTTTTCTTTCTAGTCTTAATACGACATAAATAATTGAGAATTTCCGAAAGTGACTTATCCAGTTTAAATCTATACCAATCGGGAATCTCGGGATAGTGTATACCCCAAAATGATGAATAATAATATCTCAGAATTAGGTTTATTAATTAGACTTTTTTAGAATTTATTGGTAAAACTTCCCTGTCAATTTTGCCGGAAATGAGGAAAAAGGAGACACGTGTAATGATGAAAGTAATCAAATCTCACACGCTATACATTCTATGGCCCCGTTTATCCTTACTTGAGCACTTCTTGATGTCAAAATTCTTGATTTTATCTGGGAAAACATTTCTTCTGAGTATGCAGATGATGCATTTTAATTAGTTATCGGGGACAAGCAACTTCAATTATTATTATTATCATCATTATTATTATTATTATTATTTTAAGAAATAGTGATGAAGATTGATAGTGCCGGTTTCGAGTCTTCGAATTTCAGTCCGTGGCTGCTATTTGTATGATGATACGAGGTCACGGGGCATGATTATGAGAGTTGGAAGGAATTGATGTTTCGTGTGAGACATATGTATATAGAAGTTAATTTTTCTTATCAAAATAATCACTTTAAATAAGTTAATTCATTCTTATCAATTTTCTTTTTGTTTATATAGAACAAGATACTATTTCGTTCCGAAATTTTTTTCCAATTTAAATTTCTATTTTTAGTACAAATTGAACTAAAAATGAAGAATCAAACTAGACAATTCGATACATAGAGAGTAGTAGTTAGTGAGAAACGGAACTAAATAATGATTTCCACCATTACATTTATCCCAAAGAAGCATCCAGTTAGAGGAAAATTCCGTTTTTTTTTTAATCACATTTGTGTGTATTTGTGTACTATGTTAATTACTTATAACAAACAAAATAATTAATTTAAAAAATAAAAAATACATTTTTTCCCGCCCCAAATTGATGAGAACAATGCGAAACAACCGAAAATTATACGCTGCACATTAATGGCGCGTGATATTCACGCGCTATTGCGCAGCGTGAAACTTGCATCTGCGTGCCCAATGCGCAGAATTTTGTTTTTTTTTTTTGGTTTTTTTATTAAGTGTTTGGGTTTTAAAATTTTTTTTAATCTTCAAATAATTTTATTTCATAATCTGTAAGGAATTAGACAAAATGTTTTATATTATTTTGATAGTACTCGATAAGATCTATCCAACAAGATCCCTCATGGATATATTTTTTGAGACATAAAAAAAAATTTATTTAATAATATTGGTCTTCTTAAAAGGCACTCTGGTCTTGCTTGTTGCTTATAAGTGTTTTGTGCAAACAGTTTGGTCTTTTTATTTGTTGCTGTAGGTCTTGACTTTTATGTATTGCCCTCGGTTTTCCTGAAAGACACAATGGCCATGCTTGTTTGTGCCGTAACACGATTAACCTTATAAATTTTTTTAAACCAAACGAGACCCTAGCCTAATTGGTTTTAAAAAATTTAAACCAAGAAAAAAATAGTATGTTTAGGGTTTAGGGAAGTTTGACCATTTCCATGTCGGTTTGGGTCTAGTTGTTTAGAGTTTAGGGTTTAGGGGGGTTTAAGCCTTTTCCTATCAGTTAGTGCCAATTTTGTGCCATAACACAATTAACCTTATAAATTTTTTTAAATCAATTAGGCTAGGGTTCAAACCAAGAAAAAAATTAGGGCTTGTTTGGCCAACATTTTGTTTTAGTTTTTGTTTTTGTTTTTTGATTTGGATTTGAGATATGATTTAAAATGTGGTTTGAGATAAAATTTAAAGAGTTATTTGGGTGATATTTGAAATAAACTAATAATATTTTTAGAACACCATCGGACCACCTCCACCACTGGCGCCGCCATTGGACCGCCCACCACTGCCGTTGCCGGCCGACGACCGGCCGACCGAATTCCGGCCAAATTCCGGCCAACTCGCCAGAATTTGGCCGGAATCCGGCCGGCCGGTCAGCCGGCAGCGGTCGGCGGCCCAGTGGTGGTGGGTGGTGGTGGAGGTGGTCCGGTAGTGGTGGACGAAAATTATTTAAAAATAATTTTTGAAATATTTTTTAAAAGGTAAATTAAAAACTTGTTTGGATGATATTGGGATTTGTGTTTCAGAGGTGTTTTAAGAGGTAAAATGAGACAAAAATGCAAAATAAGTGTTGGCCAAACAAGTCCTTAGTATGTTTAGGGTTTAGGTGGGTTTGACCATTTCCGTGTCGGTTTAGGTCTAATTGTTTAGGGTTTAGGATTTAGGGGGGTTTAAGCCTTTTCGTGTCGGTTAGTGCCAAGTTTGTGCTGTAACACAATTAACCTTATAAAATTTTTTAAACCAATTAGGCTAGGGTTCAAACCAAGAAAAAAAATTAGGGCTTCTTTGGCCAACATTTTGTGTTAGTTTTTGTTTTTGTTTTTTGATTTGGGTTTGAGATATGATTTAAAATGTAGTTTGAGATAAAATTTAAAAAGTTGTTTAGATGATATTTGAAATAAACTAATAATATTTTCAGACCACCACCAGACCACCTCCACCACTGGCACTGCCGTTGGACCGCTCACCGCCGTCGCCCGGCCGCTGCTGGCCGACCGGATTTCGGCCAAATTCCAGCCAACTCGCCAGAATTTGGCCGGAATCCGGCCGGCCGGTCGGCCGACGGCGGTGGGCGGCCCAATGGCGGGGGGTGGTGGTGGAGGTGATCCGGTAGTGGTAGACGAAAATTGTGTAAAAATAATTTTCGGAATATTTTTTAAAAGGTAAATTAAAAAGTTGTTTGGATGGTATTGGGATTTGTGTTTCAGAGGAGTTTTAAGAGGTAAAATGAGACAAAAATGCAAAATAAGTGTTGGCCAAACAAGTCCTTAGTATGTTTAGGGTTTAGGTGGGTTTGACCATTTCCGTGTCGGTTAGGGTCTAATTGTTTAGGGTTTAGGGTTTAGGGGGTTTAAGCATTTCCGTGTCGCTTTGGGCATAGTTTGTGCTATAACACGAATAACCTTATAAATTTTTTTGAACCAATTAACTTTGGTCTTTGGTCTTTGGTCTCTGGTCTTTGACTTTCGGTCTTTGGTCTCTGGTCTTTGGTTTTCAGTCTTTGGTCATTTGCGTTTGGTCTTTGGTCTTTGGTTGTTGGCCTTCAATCTTTTGTCTTTGGTATTTGAACTTTGATTTTTGGTCTTTGGTCTTTGCTCCTCACACAACGCTTGCTCTTTCACTCTGGTCTTTGGTCTTTGGTTTTTGCTCTTTGGTATTCGGTTTCTTGGTCTTTGGTCTTTGGTCTTTTGTCGTTGTTTCTTGCACACGCTCGCTCTTTACTCTGGTCTTTGATCTTTGCTCTTTGGTATTCAATTTCGGTGTTTGCCCTTTGGCTTTTGGTCTTTTCTGGAGGTCTTGGTCCTAAAAGACACAATAAGACCAGAATGTCTTTTAGTAAGACCAAGAATACTGCATAAATTTTTTTAAGTTTCGAAAAACATATTCATGAGGGATCTTATTGGATAAATCTCGTCGAGTACTATCAAAATGATATAAGACACTTGGTCTAATTATTTACGGATTAAGAAATAAAGTGATTTGAAAATTTAAAAAAATTTTAAAACCCAATTCTTAAAATTAAGGAAAAGGGGCACGTGAGTTGCACATAAAAAAAATTAGGACCAGCAAAATAAAAGGATATTGTGCACACGTGTGCTCACATTAAGTGCATCCTCCAACATGCACTTAATGCTTATGTTATAATAACTCCGAAACAACGCATAACACAACGGAAGGAAAACATTTGAAACAAATTAAACACATGGGAAAAAGATAAACAGAAAGTATGTTTGTTTGGAGAAACAATAAGGACCCCACCTTTTTGTTACACGTAAAGTGCAAAGGGGGATTTAGTAATTTAATTATGGTTAGACAAAAAGGCAATTTAGTACTTTCTTCATGTCACATGGCAATCATAGGAGGTGTTTGAAAGGGAAGTTTTTATTTCTAATATAGTAGGACATTGTAATTATCAATAAAATATTTTCTTCATCTCACAATCATAGTCATCATGTAATAAAATTACGATACAAACAAACTAGCTGCATATAATTCAGATGGAGGTAGTTTCTTGTACCAATTGATCATCTTGGCTGCTGCACTTGAATCATAGAGATATCCATCTAGAAACATTCAAAATTCTTCTAAATTACTTTATATCTATGGTTCCAATTAATTCTTAAAACAGTTATGAATAAACCACAAAGTATCTAATCAAAATAAAGACTAAATAGAGTACAACACTTTGCAAGAATAATATCACGTGAGGCCTAGGTGATAATTTGTTTATCAGGTTTATCTGAATATATGAAGCTGGATAGATTAAAAAGTCAAGAGTTGATTTACAAATAACCCTTCTCACCTTCAGCCTCTTATAATATTTGTAAACAATCATTTAAAAAGCAGATTACGGAAAATTCATCGTCACTAGCTATTAAAATTGGACAGTCAAAATCTTAGTGATTTAGTCTATCATCTCTACGTATATTAACTGGCCCGAACTAAGAATAGTCAAATCGTATGAAGCTTCTAATAAAGCAATTCGCAGTATTTAATCCATATATTGCATGTTAACGCACATGAAAATTTCTCCATATGCAACCTGTTATTATATAGGTCAACGTACCAAATGAACATATCTCTAAGTTGTGTACTCTAAGATTTGACATTTTCACGGTCAAATTTTTTGCCTTTCTGCATTGTCTTCTCATCTCTTACGATACCTTTTTTTGAAAAAGAAAATTTTGCCTTAAACCTGGCAAAGTCTTCTATAAATTGCTCCCCTAATCAAACATAAATCAAACCTAAAAGAAGTAAACAAAACATCTCATACTACCACTTATGGCAATGATGAGAAATTACATCATCTTTTTGGCATCTTTGTTATGTCTCACAAACCTATTTCTAGCATCATCCGCTGCTTCTGCTTCTGATACTTTTGGTGTTCATGAGGCATTCGTACAATGCCTAAGCAGAAAATCACTACCAAATGAACCGATTTCAGGACTCATATACACACCAAACAACTCTTCATTCTCCACCGTTTTACAAACATACATTAGAAACCTACGTTTCAATGAAACCACAACCCGAAAACCCTACCTCATTATCACCCCAACAAAAATCTCCCACATACAATCCTCCATCCTCTGCGCAAAACAGTACGGCTTGCTGATGAAAATCCGAAGCGGGGGCCACGACTACGAGGGCGTATCCTACGTGGCGGACTCCCCGTTCTTCATCCTCGATCTGTTCAACTTCAGGTCCATCGACGTCAACATCGAACAAGAAACCGCTTGGGTCCAAGTCGGCGCGATGCTCGGTGAACTATTCTACAGCATTTACAACAAAAGCAAAGTCCACGGCTTCCCGGCCGGAGTTTGTCCCACTGTTGGCGTCGGTGGACATTTTGGCGGAGGAGGTTACGGAAACATGATGAGGAAATACGGGCTTTCCGTCGATAACATCGTCGATGCGCAGATAGTGGACGTAAATGGACGTCTACTGGACCGGGCCGCGATGGGGGAGGACCTGTTTTGGGCCATCACCGGAGGTGGAGGTTCCAGCTACGGAGTCGTGATCTCATACAAAATCAATATCGTCCGTGTTCCGCCTGTGGTTACGGTTTTTCGGGTTTCGAGAACTTACGCGCAAAACGCAACTTATTTAGTCCGGAGGTGGCAAGAAATCGCTGATAAGCTTGATGATGACCTCTTCATCAGGATGATTATTGATGTGGTTAACGATACTTCCACAACTGTAACAAATGCGAAGACGATTCGATCGACTTTCTTCGCATTGTTCCTTGGAGATTCAGAAAGGCTTCTTTCCGTAATGAATAAAAGTTTCCCTGAATTGGGATTGAAGAAAAGTGATTGTACGGAGATGAACTGGGCTGAATCTGTTGTTTACTACACAAGTTTCCCGGCTGGAACTCCAGTTGAGGCTCTTCTCAGCAGAATTCCCCAAGTTTTAACTCATCTCAAGAGGAAATCAGATTACTTGAAGAAACCTATGCCAATTGACGGCATAGAATTCATCTTCAAGAAAATGATTGAGCTTCAAACACCTGTTCTTACTTTCAACCCTTATGGAGGAAAGATGGCTGAGATTTCGCCGTTGGCGAAACCCTTTCCCCATAGAGCAGGAAACATTGCAAAGATTCAGTATGCGACAAACTGGCCAGAAAATGGTGTTCAGACAGCTGAGCATTACCTCAATCTGACCAAACAACTGTTTGCATATATGACGCCATATGTTTCAAAGAATCCCAGGGAGCATTTTCTGAATTACAGGGATCTTGATATTGGAATCAACCATAATGGGAAGAATAAGATTAAGAATTACCGGGAAGGAAGAGTTTATGGGGTTCAGTACTTCTTGCAAGAAAACTTCAAAAGATTGGTGAAAGTTAAGACGGTGGTTGATCCTGATAATTTCTTCAGGAATGAACAAAGCATCCCCGTGTTTCCATGAAGATGAAAGATGAAAAGTAAGCAATAATAATTACTAAATGAATCTTTCCGTCGGTGGAAGATTAGTTTAAGTGTGATCATACGTACCTGCATAGGATAAATAATGAGACGAAAAGTTTGATTGATTATTGTTTTGGTTATTGTTTCGTGTATCTCTTTGATTAATCAAAGTGTATTTATTTAGTCTCTGATTGTTTGGACTGAAAAGTTAGAAATTATACCCCAGCGCAATTAAAGATTAATGTGATCTCACATTCTTACAGCTAAATAATTGCTGCTTAATTATTCTTCTCCATTCACACAAGCTAAAGAAATTTAAGAAATGATGAGTATTATATAGACTTGGTGACTTTGAATATCAATCGTACGTCAGCAAGTAGCAGCTTAGAAATGCTAATTAATTAACAAAAGCTTGCTTGTTCTTAGATCTAGAAGTTATTGTTCTTAGATCTACAAGTTAAATAAAATATTAATAATCAAATCATATCCTTTTCAAAAGATCTTCGTTGAAATTGATGACTACGTATATATCTTGACTAATCACTTCCATAATGAAATCAAATTCTGTTTTTCTTTTGTTTCAAAAAAATAAATAAAAGGGTCCACTGATCAATGATTTGACAAAACTCAAGTTTTTTACTTCGTTCGATAAGGTAAATAATATGAAAATCATATTTGTAAAAGTGTTGAAGGTAATCAAACTTATCAGATGGGAGAATCTAAACCTTGACTTTTTTTCTCACGGACAACAAAAACAACTATTAAATTGCTCAGGGAATTGTACCCAAAAAACAAAAATAAAAATTGCTCCGGGAGGGGAGTTTAGTTAAAGCTTTGTTGACTTTCATATCCATGATGACTCACCTCGTTGTCACCTAATGACAAAATTTTCAGCCCAACGCTTTCAGAATTTGCCGATAAAATTTCTCAGAACAATATTCAGGTATTGGCACAGTTCAACCTTGGACGTATGTTCATATTTTCTTTGGCGAATAAAATTACTTAAAATAAATCACAAAAAACGGTTGGATCCCTTCTTTCTTATTTATTTTTAATAAAAGAAGAATTTTATTAATTTTGCTAGAATTTTATTAATTTTATTAATTACTTAAAATAAAATTACCTCATGCATTTAACTCGTTTCGATTCTGGTTGAATGAGATTTACCTAATGTAATTTCCAAACTATTTGTCACAGACTATGGATCGTGATGACACGAAATTCTAGACTCAATTTTCATCAATCTATATTGTATATTAAAGAAAAATTTTCAATCAACATGTATCGTTCAATAAGATAGTCCAGAGCTTTTTTTACTACATGTTAAAAGAGTTTTTCTGATAGGTAGGGCTGTGCTTTTGTCTGAAACCGACCCGACCCGACCCGACCCGAAACCGTTCTGAATCGAATCGTTCTTATCGGTTCGGAACGGTTCGCGCCCGAAACAATCTAGATATTGTCGGTTCGGTTCGGTTTCGGTCGGGTTTTTTCGGATCAAGACCGAATTGATCCGTTTTGACCCGTTTGATTTTTTTAAAATTTTTTTTAAAAAGTTTTCTAATATATTTCCAATTATTTTGCCCTTTCTTTTGGTACATTTTATTATAATCATGACTTTTAAAATGTCAAAACTTATCTTATTGTTGCGAAAAGATCACTTAATTTTTTATTTATTTACTTTTTTTTAACAATCATCACATTAATTAAACTAAACCAAACAAAAAAGTGAGACGGGTGATTCATTAATTTATGAAACCAAAATTTATGCCTTCTTAAAAAAACAAGCAGTGAAATAAGTTGTGAGTTTTTTGACATATAAAGAAACAGAGGTACATAAAAAGTTTTGGAGAATATATATAAAGTGCAAAAGAAGTGCATTTGAAGCTGATAATCATAGCACCACAAGAACAATAAAAGAAGGTTCCAGAAAGGCGGAATGAAGCATGAAAAAAGAAGCTGATTCCCCTAAACCAAATTAATCTGCTCAATATGCAGTATGGTTCCCAAAACCTAAAAATGTAATGGAACGCAATGCAGCTTGCCACTAATTAGTAAACAAACTCGCACTGAATGTTTCTTTCACACTCAGAAAATATTCACTTCACCATCTATCTATTATATCATCAGAGTGATTATAAAAATTTCACTTTATAAAAGGAAACAGAAAAAAAACACAAAGACAGAGCTATCACCAATAAGGTTTATTCAACTTCATCTAAAATCCAAAAAAGTAACCTTCCCCACTACTCAACATCAATGATAGGGTGTACTTCATTCAATCGTGCTATCCCTATCACATCGAATCTCCAAGTATAACCATATACAATATAGGACTATATGTAATAGCAACATTGTTTTGAAAACCAAGCATGTATTACCTGCTTCAATTTCCTCAATCTCATCCAAGTAGTCCTTCACAAAAACAGGTTCGCGATTTTTTGTCAACCAATCTTGCGCAAAAACACTAGCTTCTACCATCCTTGGAGACAATGAGCTTTGAAATGAATCAATAATTTTACCACCAGTACTGAATGCAGACTCTGAAGCCACAGTAGTCACAGGAATAGCCAACACATCTATAGCCCTAAGGGCTAGTGTGGGATATCTAACAGCATTTGATTTCTACCACTTTAATATATCAAAAGATGTATCATTTGGATCTACTTTCAAATCAACCAAATACTTATCCAATTCAGTGTTATCAGCAAGATTGTTTTTCTTGTTTTGCTTCTTAGCATACAAAGAGTTCAGGAATGCAGCGGCACCAATAATACTATCAAAATTGACATCAACAACGTCTAACCCAATACTACCACTCATACTCCTGCTAGATGACACTGCTGGAATATAGAACTCATAAATTTTGCGTAAAGTAGCAGTCACATCATCTTTCAACTCTTCTGCTTTTGACCCATAGGTTTTTTCACCCACTCAACATGACTTCTTTTGTAACGGGGATCAAGAATACAAGCAATAAAGACGTACATGTTCATCTTATCAAAATTAGTCAAGTACTTGTCAAATTTCCGCTTCATACTCGAAGCCATTACTTCCAAATCAATCGAATCCATATTCTCCATTGCATCCAAAACAAGCCTAACACCAGAGAATATGAAGTATGTACTCATTCCCAGTCACATAACTTGACCCAGACAAACGGACAGTAGTGTCATAAAAAACTTTCAGAAAAGGGAGCAAATTTTCAGCATACTTCCAATCAAAATAAAGTGGCATGTCGTTACCCGTATCAGACTTATACCGGTTATCTAAAGCTAAATCATCAAAAGCAGACCTAAATTTCAAAGCAGATTTCAACATTATATATGTGGCATTCCACCTAGTTTCCACATCCAAACTAGGACCAGATTTGGTGTCAAAATCCTGCAACTCTTGGATACCTTTAAACTATCTAGTCCTAGCAGAAGAAGATTTCACATACTTAACAGCAGCCCTTATCCTAGAGATATGATCATTGTAATCTTTAAACCCTTCCTTCACAATCAAGTTCAAAATATGATTGGCACACCTCATATGCAAATGATCACAATTCTAAACAGTTCCTCTCCAATTCTTCAAACTATCTCTCAAAAATTCAACGCATTTATCATTTGAGAAAGCATTATTAACAGTCACAGTAAGTACCCTCTTAATCCCCCACTCTATCAAAAACCTCTGAATAGATTTACCCAACAAATCACCCGTATGATCAGCAATTGGACAAAAATTAATAACCCTTTTATGCAAAGTCCAAGAATCATCAATAAAATGAGCAGTGAGTACAAATAATCAATGTTTTGATTCGATGTCTACAAATCAGTAGTAAAAGACACACTTGAACTCAATGTACCAAACTACTCTTTCAGTTTCCTTTTCTCAGCCAAAAAAAGTTCATAACAATCACGAGTTACAACTTTCCGTTTAGGAATTATGAAATCAGGTTGTAACTCTTGACAAAAACCAATAAATCCCTCTTTTTCAGCATGGCTAAAAGGCAGCTCATCCACAAATATCATCACAATCAATGCCTTATAAGCCCTACCTTGATCAAACACATGAGCAGGGGACTAAGGTTCTACAACTGTTAATCTTTTCTTAGGTTCATACAAATGAGATGTGGGACACCGTTTCAGATGATTACGTAATGAACTGGTACCATTCACACTAGGACAAGATATCCAAGTTTCACAATACACACATTTTCCCCTCTAATCCAAATGAGAGCGTTTAGGAACAAGTTCAAAGTATGGCCAAACATCAGATCTAAAGATTCGAGTCTTACTCGTGCTTTGAGTTTCTTGCGTCCCCCTTGAAGTGTCAGACATATTCAAATCTCCACTTTGAGCACTTTGAGTACCAGTGTTCATGGTAAAATCAGTCGTCGACATCACTACCCCTACATAGAAGCATTAATCTAATCAGGACCAGCTAGTGTAAGCATTTAAATTATAGTCCAAATATAGAAAAGTGGATTCACTATAATAAGATAAGTAGATACGAAAACTTGAAAGCCAAAAGACTTCATAAAAGTTGACTAGACAGGCTTTAAGAATACCACTCTTACCTTATTGTTCAGTGGAGTAGCTGGAGGAAATTTGAACACTACTTTTTTATGGTCATCGAATCCACTGTTATTATGGGTGAGGGTGAATGCTGATTGTTGCCTATTAAGGCCTTGAATGATGAAAAAAATGCCCCAAATGTTACCAGCTTTCTAGTAGAGCCTGAGGTGCACCTGCAAAGCATTTGTACCCACAGTTAGCATTTGTATCCAATCATGATGAATAGATCAGACACAATATAGGGTAGGACAACCATCTAAAAGAGACTAATGTCAAAACCAGAGGACTTCTAACTCAAAGACAAAACCTGACTAACATAGCTAATACAAAAACATAGGACAGTTGACAGAGTAAACTAGTAGCTCAAGATTAAAGTATACTAGTAGCTCAAGATTTTTTAATGACAATTGACAAACAAAACAACTAAATCATAGCATAAACAACAAAATTTTCAAAAAGTAGCTTAAAGTGTAATGGAAAAGTGGAGGCAGTACATGAACAAAGTATTCTAGTAGCTTAAGATTTTTTAATGACAATTGACAAACAAAACAACTAATTAATTAGATGATGATCACGTCTTTAAAGACAAGCCATTAAGGAACACTATCCACAAGCGAATTTGAGCAATTGAGGAATAGAGTTTCCTTGACACTCATATATTTAAAACAACAACCAAACGCGCATATTCAATCAAAGTTTATTGATTCATTCACACAAGACAGTCATTCCGGAAGTACAAAGTTAAAATCAACCCATCAAATAGTAAAGGAATCATCGGTTTAACAATATACAAACTAGCATCTAAAGGG